GAAGAAAGCTGACGAAGCTAAAGAGGATGAAGGCTGTGTATGTTCTTTCCTCACAAACTTCAATTTATTAGTTCAATTATTGTATTTTTTTATCTCTTTGTTATCCATGCTTCGGTTTGTTGTTGATCCAATCTTTCAGTCCACAGAAGTTGACAGAGGAAAGAAGAAGCTCCATGAAGTATGCAAACTGAATATCTTTGCTGTGTTAGAGTAATGTTTCTTTATGTGCTTGCATTCATTCAGTTTCTGTTGTGTAATATCAGTCTATCGAGGAAGACGATGATGCACTGGCTGAGTCTGATCGCCCTTTAAAGAGGCTGCGGCGCAGAGGTGAAGGAGGCTCTGCTTTGACAAGCCCTAGCTTGGGGAGTCCGACTTTAGAGGAGCCTTCGACTTATGACGAAGAAAATGCTCCAATCCTATTGCCATATCATCCTGTACCAACTAAAAATGACCATGATGCTGGTGAGCTCATTATTCCAAAAGTCGAGCCCATTACAAATATGCCTCTCAGTTCTATTCATCCTGGTACTTTTTTGTAGATAGCAGTAACTAAATCTTATTTGCATTGCTCATTTTGTTGTTATGATGTGTCTTGTACGTTTTCTGTAGATTCAGTAGAGCGAGAGAACTCTTCAGTTCCCATGCTTGAGATGGAGAAAACAAATGGACATGTGGAAGAGGGGGCTGGTGAAACAGTAAGTACTGCTGATGGTACTACCAATGACGTTTCTCCTACAACTGTTGGGAGATTTAGTGAGCACAAGCTAGCTGCAACCATAGAAGAACCATCAGCACTTGAATTAGCTTCTTCTGCTTCAGGCGAAGTGAAGATTAATCTTAGTTTTGCTCCTGCAACTGGAGGATCAAATCTATATTTACCTTCTATGGAGGAACTACGAAGAGCAATGGAGGAGAAGTGTCTTCGATCGTACAAAATACTGGACCCCAACTTTTCTGTGCTTGGTTTTATGAACGACATCTGTAGCTGCTACATGGACCTGGCAACAAAGGGGAAAGATTCAGCTAACCAGTTGCCAAAAAACTTGCCGTTTGTCACAGCAAACATTGATGCATTGAAGAAATCTGCAGCAAGGATGGCTTTTACTTCACAGGGCAGTAATGATCATATGCGTGATGTTGAAAACGGTGCAGTTGGTGATTCCATGGGTT